AGTGATAAAACACCAGTTTACATTAAATATGCAAATAATCATCTTCCAACGGAGTGTCCCATTCAACAAAAAATAAAAGAAGTTAAACGTGCAAACTACGGAGGAAACCACGTAGCTAGTTATAAAGGCTGCAGTGCAAAAAAATTATTTCAGCAAAAATTATTTCCAACTCTAAGACCAAAACAAATAACAAGTACAGAAAATATCGTTCGATCAAACGTCTCATATGCGCTGGCCGCAGCCGAAAATTTAAATACAGCACAAGAAAAATCAAAACAAATGCAGACACCTCAACCAATAGTAAACAATAACAATAAGAATCAGCTGGTAAATATGATGACTCAACTGACGTCTCAATTAATAAACAAGATAGACACGATGCTAAATCTGCTTACCATGCTCATAAATAAGACATAATGAACACAAAAATAAAAATAGTAATTTGGAACGCTAACGGTTTAGCGCAAAGAAATATCGAAATAAAACCTTTTCTGATAGAAAACAATATAGACATCATGTTAATATCAGAAACACATTTCACTAATAAAAACTTTTTAAAGATACCGCAATACACATTATATAATACAAACTATCCTGGCGGTAAGGCTCATAGAGGAACGGCAATATTAACAAAAAGCACTATTAAACACCACGAAATAGAACCACATAAATACGACTACCCACATGCAATAAATGTAGCGATCATCGACAGCAATGGTCAATTTATTCTCTCGGCATTATACTGCCCTCCAAAACATACAATAAAAAAGAAACAATACAAAAAATATTTTGATAGCCTGGGAAGCCGTTTTCTCGCAGGAGGAGACTATAATGCAAAGCATCCATGGTAGGTATCAAGATCAATAACTCTAAATCCAGAAGGTGCAACAACTTTATGTGCAGTAATAAAAAAGAAAAACTTAACGCTAACGTCAACAGGCGAACCTACCTACTGGTCCTCAGATATAAATAAACTACCGGATTTAATAGATTTCGCTATTATAAAAGGACTATGCCCTAAACACCTAACAGCTGAATTGTGTCTTTACCTAACCTCAGATCATTCCCCAGTTATTATAAACCTCAACTCAACAATAAAAATAGACAAAAAAAAAATAGCCTTTTGTATAATAAAAAAACAAATTGCGATCTTTACTGAGCAATAATAAATGATAAAATTACATGTAACATACCACTAAAAACAGAATAGAATATAGATACTGCGATTGAAAATTTAAATAACAACATCTATACAGCCATTAAAAATGCAACCCCTACGTACTCGATAAAACAAAATAAAAAACAAATAAATTCCAAAGTAGTAACAGATAAAATAAGAGAAAAAAGAAAGTTGAGAACAATTTGGCAACAGACTAGATTATCAACAGATAAAACAACATATAATAGGTCTATTAAAGAACTTAAAAAACTTCTTTACGACGAAAAAAATGAAAATATAAACAATTATCTAACTAACTTAACTGTAATTGAGGCTACTGATTATTCGCTCTGGAAAGCCACTAAAAAAATTAATCAACCACAAAAATTCTTTCCTCCTATATTAAAAAATGATATGACTTGGGCTAGAACAAGCATTGAAAAAGCTAACACATTTGCTAAACACCTACAAAATGTTTTCAATCTCTCACAACGTAAAATAACAGAAGTAGAAGAACAAAATCTATTGAAAACCATGCAATACAACAACAATAAAATCAACTAACTAACAATACCAAAGTAAAAGAAATAAACCACATAATACGTCATTTAAAAAATAAAAAGAGCCCTGGACATGATAATATAAATGCAACATTACTGAAAGAACTGCCAATAAAAGCTATAAGATATATAACCATCGTAATAAATTCAATACTTCGTTTACACTACATTCCTGTTGCATGGAAAATAGCAACAATAATACTCACACCAAAACCGGGAAAACCGCCCCAACATGTCACGTCCTACAGACCTATTAGCCTACTGCCTACTTTGTTAAAAATTTGTGAAAAAATAATAATTAAAGGGTTAAACAAAATTTTAATTGAGTAAAACCTAATTCCTAAACACCAATTTGGTTTCCGTAATAATCACGCCACAATCGAACAAAATAATAGAGTAACTAATAAAATAATAAATAGTTTTGAAAACGAATACTGTAATGCAGTATTTCTTGACGTAGCTCAAGATTTTGATAAAGTCTGGCACAAAGGACTTGTATATAAACTTGAAAAAATCATACGACAAAATCTCTATCTGTTATTAAAATCGTACTTGAGCGCTAGGACTTTTAAGGTAAGAATAAATAACGAAACAACTAAGTTATACCCAATTAAAGCCGGCGTTCCCCAAGGAAGTATCCTCGCTCCGATATTATGCATGTTATACGCACATGATCTGCCAATCAAGGAAAATGTTGACATCACTACGTACGCAGATAATACAGCCATACTAATATCACATGCTAACGAAAAAATAGCCTCTTATAATATGCAAAAATACCTAGACATAGCTATAGACTGATTTGATAAATGGAGGATAACAATAAATGAAACAAAGTCAATTCAAGTAACCTACACCAAGAAAAAAGGATCTTGTCCACCAGTATACATTAAAAATCAACAAATTCTACAAGGAGATAAATCAAAATATCTTGGAATGCACTTTGATCGTAGATTAACATGGTAAGACCACATATAGACTAGAAGAAAACAACTCAACCTACAGATAAGGAAGTACTCGTATTACTGGCTATTAGGGAGAAAATCTAAATTTTCAATTAAAAATAAGCTTCGTATATATAAGTCAATAATTAAACCGGTATGGACATACGGCATACAACTTCGGGGCACTGCTCCAAAATCAAGCATAGATATAATAGAAAGATTTCAAAACAAAACTATAAGAGCTATTACTGATGCACCATGGTTTGTTTCTAACGATTACATAAGGAAAGACGTCAACATAAACACTGTAAGAGAAGAAATTGAAACAGCTCGCCAAAAATACACCAACAGGATAAAGGAACACTCAAATAAATTACCAAAGAAGCTAATACACACAACACCGATATTTTCAAGATTCAAAAAATATAAAACAGATTTGCACAAAGTTAAACAAGCATGGTATTAAAGTACTGGTACTAATCGTGGACCTTCATGTAATTCAAACAAATTTTTTGTAACCAATTGATGGAATTGCAATTATAACAATTTCTTATTGCCCGAGGAAAGATTGTAAATATATTGGAGTAATAAATAAAAAAAAAAAATTTAGATAATTTGTATTAAATAAATGCATGACAACAATCATACTTTGTCGATTTCTCGAGGCCTTTCTAATCATCAGAGTTTATTACAATTAGCACTTTAATGTAGCTTTATTCTATGATAATAGATTACAGTCAATAGCATTTTACTCAATACATTTTATCATTGTCAAACTGATGAAAATAAAGTGAAAATTTCTGCGAAATTTGAACGAAGATGACTCCATTAGCCTAGTGATAACGAGTCAACCCAAAACATGTGTACCGCAGCTGCGCGTCTCTCTCACTGCCGACGCCGAGTACGCAGGTAGCCGCGCGGACCCTCGGTTGGCTAATCCTTTTTATGACCTTACCTACCTTTTTAGTTGTTAAATGAACATTGTTAATGGTGCAAAAATTACAATATTTATTTACATAATTGAATAGCTGATTAAAATGCGAGTTTAATGAATTTTTAATTGTAAAAAACGAATAATTACAAGTGCAACAAACACAAATATAACCAAAACCCTCTCCACTTATTCATCTATTTATTTCTTTTTGTTTTCTTTTATTGTAAAAAACGTTTACATGTTATTAATAATATTTAATCCAAGACAAATAAATAATTTTCATCCCAAGGTATACGCGGCTACCTGCGCACTCAGCGTCGACGGCGAGAGGGAGACGCACAGCCACGGTACACATGTTCGCCATGCAATTTCGGAATTCACGTTAATTTATTTTTCACAAACTGTTACAAGCATTTTTGTTTCCATATTTTTTTGCGGTTAGAGTCACTAAACACTTTCTAGAAATTCTCAATTTTTCGAAAATTTTATAACGCATATTGGGTGGTCTTAAAATTGTTTAAAAATTCTGAAAAAATTTAGAGTGATTCCTAATTTAAATAGTTATCGATTGAGTCGACTGGAGCTATAAAAATAAAAAACCTCACTTTTCTGAACAGGCCTAATCTACACGTAAAAAATTAATATAGAAATAATTGATTAAAATTATAAAAATCAGTATAAAAATGATTAAAAATATATAAATAATTAAAAAAATTAAATTAATAGATTACAAATATAAAAATCAGTATAATAATTAATTATTTTAAAAACTCGAAATTGTAAAATCATGGCGTGTAAGCAAGCGTTGGTACCGTGAGCGGACTTCGAATAATCGATCAGAGAAGAAGTATTGGAAGCGTCTTGGTTATTCTGAGTTAACTTATTATACATTTTGGTTAATTTAACACTTCTACCTTGAGTCCCTTTAGTGTATTCAACTGAGATATTCAATGCTGGCTCATAATATTATATTAATAATTACTTTATAATGAATATATTTAGAAATTTATTTTCTGTTTGTCGAAAATGATTTTAAGAAATGCACTAATTTCATTATACATCGTAAATTTTTAAGACTTTTCAATTTTTAATATTTAAAAAATGTATGATAATACAAAATATTCATTTTATCATCAGTGTATGCAAAATTTAAGTCGTGTTGACCACTTTTTATTAGGCAGGATTTTTACAGAAAATGACTTAACCTATTAATGCATCGTAAATTTTAGTGGTTTAGATTGCATTTACATTATAATACAAATAGTTATGTACACATCAAAATATTTTAAAATATACCTAATTTGTGCTCAAATCATTACCCGTTTCCCTAGGTAAACAAAATAGTATTCAAGCAAAATTAAAATAATATTTAATTGAAATTTGGTGTTATTCTACTAATATAGGTCAGAGAACGCAGCGCTCGTAGCTTACCAATGGGTCAACATCATCAACAAACGAGAGCTTCGCTATCTCGAACATCATTAAATGCTGGCACTCCAGACAGCCTTAGTGACAACGAAAGCAACTCCCTTCGGACGCCTTTTAGAAAGAGTGGTATTTCCAGTAAAACTTCGCTTACTCCAGGTTTGAAATTTTTTTTTATAAAGTAAACTTAGACTTGTGGTAGTGAGTTGCATATGAATAGACACGAAGTAGCCTTGAAACAGCAAACAGCGACAGAGTGGGACTTTCTATATATGTAAGATGTCGATTGCGACCTGTAGTAAAGATAATAAATTTATTATTTAAATACGTAATCAATATCATTGCTTCTATCGGTCAAATTGAAATTCTTAATTATCATCTGTTACGCGAAAAAAGTTTCAAATAAATCGATGCAGTTTTGAGAAAGCTTTGGAATGCAAGATTTTACAGGCGTATTTTTTTATTATTATTTAAAGCTTTAAAATTAATTGATTTATTCATTTTATTATGGGTGTGATTAGAACAAAAACAATCATTTACGTATCAAAATTGAGTTATTTTATATAATTCTTAATGTAGTCACTTATTACGTTATTCTGATAAAATAATAATTATTTATATGCGTGGTAAATAATTTTTTTTATAATATTTACTTTGCAAGTCATTCAAAGTTGATTTGAGACTGTTGATTGATCAGTTATTTTCTCTGATCTGAATATAATATGCATTGTATAATGGGGTAAGATGTTTAGTGGGCTACGCGGTGCGAAGGTTTGCGGGCAAGTCTCTTCGTGTGCGCACAAATCAGCAGGAGCTGCGCGAGTGTCGCCGCGCCGTGCATAATGGCGCACATTTTAGCGATGTTTTGTGTGCTTTTCATGGGCTGCCCTCACTGGCAACCGAATGCGCTTCCTTTGAGCCTAATCTTGCATCGAGACCTTATCTTGGGTGCGTGCCCTTGCTTCCGAGCGAAGTCCCTGTTAATTGCTGCCGGTACTTTTACTGGGCAGCTTCAGCCTCACTCGGAAATATAGCTAAATTCTGCTAGCTGAAAAGGGACGCATAAGTACGAAGGCTTATGACAGAAACGAATACGCGAGTATAGGAATGGACACTTCTGAAGAAGGGCACTTCTTCGAAGAGTCAACCAATGATTAAATCAGTCGTTTTTAACTATCACGACGGTATCCTTTATTAAACAATGGTTCGGTTATAAATTGAGGCCTCTGCAATGATAATTTCTAGCATATGGCAGATGCAGGCGTCACCATCTTGTCCGCTACCACATGCACGTAGCGATCGTTCACTTGCACACAATTATATATCGTCGCGGTTTCCGAGCTCACGTGAGATCGGTTGGCGATCCATCTCGGATTATGCCTTATATTACACGTATAAGACAACAATGGATCGTGCGGGTATATTACGTGGAGCTGGCTAGCTTACCTCGTGATATCTGCGATTTCACGCCGTTCAGGTCTCCGCTATCGGGAAAAAAGGCTTCTCCTGTTCTTCCTGTGGTAACCATTATGCTTATAGGAGGTTATGCACGTCTCGTATCCTTTGATGCTTGTTTAGGATGCCTTTCTTTCTTTTAGGGAAAGAACGCACATGGTAGCCTCGGCATTCGTCCGCCGTCGAAGCTCGAAGGTCCGGAACTCGAAAGGAACGTGTATGTTCAAAAGCAGTCTCTGCGTGAGTCCTTATCTGCGTATTCTCTCCCTGTATCACCGCGTACGCGATGCGTGCCCTCACTTTCTAGCCGGCCGGTGCTGACCCTGCGGACAGTCCCACCAACGAGACGAGCCCAGGAATATAACGTTTATCGTTACAGCATATACCACAATATATGGTCAATATCTAGACAAAAAAAAGAATATAGACAGTTATGATATTTTACTATTAATATTTTATGAGAAATTCATTTTAAACTATAGTGGCTGACTGCGAATCGATTAACAATAACTATTAAGGCGCATTGAAGATTATTTTTTATGAAACCACACAAAAAAAGTTTCAATGAAAATATATTTTTGCCTTATCAGAATGTACATTTAAGTAAACTATTTTTGTGTTTGTGATACTTGTAATTAGTTTGAATTTTTCTTTAAAATTTAAATAGGGAAGTTTGTCTAAATCGATTGGCCTACTGTGTGCTGCGAAGTTTGCTTGTGTGTCTGCAATCTCATTGCTTGTCATGGCTATTTGCGAGAGTATCCAGTTTCAAAATTAAGTCACCGCCCTATAAGTTTAAGTCACCGCCATTTAAAAATAGCCATTTTTCAGTGTATGGCCGAACGTGCAAATACTGAGTGTGCGGAACGAAACCAATGCAGTTTCCGCACTCACAGACGTTTCGTTATCTATTGCATACAATTTTTCAAACAAAAACGTTAATGGTGAAAAGGTATATATAACAAATTATAACTTGATTCAGACACGCGGACAACACAATGTGTGTTGAGAGAATCGTTGAATGTTTTCCATGGATATTCTTTATATTGTGGTTTTTTATTCTGTAAAAAAAAATTGACCACGAAATAATATTCATTGGTGTAAGTTCTGCATAGTTTAATATTATTATTATTATAGTACAATAAAATTAAAATTAATATTCAATGAAACAAGTAAACCTTCTTCAAGTAGACTTTCAACTTCTTCGCAACATAGTTACCGAAGAATTTGATGAGAAAGTAGCTGAGTAAATCCTTAATGTTTTCAAAATTGGTTACAAAAAATTAAATCACTCTATACAGAAATATATCGTAAAAAAGTACCATTCTCTGAAATAATACATCACATGTGTAACGGAGAATTCCGGCCGTACCCGTCTGGGTTGCTCGCGACCGTCCGCACAAATTATTTATTCGGGGATTCGGGAAACAAAAGACGTTCCCACGACTGAATAACGCGTTGAGCATAAACACGTTAAACGCACAGATTCGAAGTCGGGATGAGGAGTGATACAGCGGCGAATAAACACAACAGCGGATTAATACGCTAGTCTTTAATTGTCAACAAACGATTACAATACGGCAACCTCGGACTTATACACTACGAGCGGTACAATAACAAATGCGAACGCGAAGGTGAATCGGTGGCTGGTCAGCCTGCCGATTCCCTTATAAAAACTAGATATTATACAAATGCCCGACAAACACTTTTCGCTGATAGGCTATTAACGGTAGCCAGCAGGTCTGCTGTGCTACCAACCATAGACTGACGCCCAAACATGCAAGAGAGAGAGACAAGAGAAAAATACGGCACCGACCTCAACCTTCAGCCTCTCCGACGGCTGGAGCGCTCTGCACCGTGACGTCACTGGTGTGCTCCTCGCTGACCGTATCGCTGGTATATTCTTTTGTCGTCGCTATCTGTCTTCTGGCTCGTCCTCTCGATCGCTCCGCAATATTGCCGCCTCAACCGCAACCCGCTCGTTGATCGTTGTTGCTGCTGTCTTCGCCGCCTTTTTATTGTCCTGGACGACAGCCCGTCCTGACTGCTCGCGCGCGCACCCGCGCACCTCGCCGATAACTCACACGCACCGGTGCCGGGTATACTTCGGGACACGGCTGGGCGCGACCCAGCCTCACTCTCCGATACTCGTCCGCGCACCGGGCGTGTCTCCAAAACGAACGATCGTCGACGAGGTCGCGAGGCCAACCTTGAAAAACTGTCACCGTCGGTTTTATCCGCGCGCGCGACTTCCTCTGCTCCTCGCTTAGCAGACTCCTCGAATTTTTCCGCGGTGATCCGCAATTCGAGCGGTCTCTCTCTCTCTCTCTCTCTCTCTCTCTCTCTCTCTCTCTCTCTCTCTCTCTCTCTCTCTCTCTCTCTCTCTCTCTCTCTCTCTCTCTCTCTCTCTCTCTCTTTCTCTCTTCTTCTGCGCCATCTGCGTCGCTCCAGTCGTCAGCTCAATCCGTGTTCAGCACCTCGCAAACAAAAGGTCCAAGCATGATTGTGTGTGCCAAACGTACACACTCTCAGCCTGGCGCGGCGCACGGACATTTGCGAGAGCCAAACGGACGAGATCGGCCTAGCCGAGATTCTCCGTCACACATGAAGTTACTCTATTTCAGTATCCAGAAACTATTATTTTAAGAAATAAGTCCATCTATGTTATTCGATAGCAACGGATTCGAAAAAGAAAGAAATAAAAAAAAAGTGAGTTGATAATATTATTAGAAAAAAATCTTAATCCTGCAAAAGATAACAGTATCAAATAACCATTCTATGTGCATTATGCTCAATGTTATGCTTTACTCTCGTAAAGTATTCTGGAAAAATTTGAAAACTTTCGGAGATTTCGCAAAAGCTTTTTGTAATTTAATTAAATTAAATTATTTGAATAAAAAAAAGAATCATACAAAGAATCGATGTTGTATTTGATAATTATTTCGAACTTATCCGTAAATTATTTGAAAGGATACGCTGATAAAAATGCGATTTTAAAGATATATGAGAGGGTCGAGACAAGTAAAATGGCGTATCAATATTAATAAAAAAACAACTATCGTTTACAGATCTTTATTTTGATAGTTGATTATCCTAGTACAACGTCTTAGATCACATTGTCAATTACAATCTATTTGGCGAACTTATAATACTATCCCCTCCCAATCGTACTTGCCATCGTACGACACGATCGCCGTTATCAAACAGCTAACAGCTCGGCCCACCCTGACGCGATACCGCAGCATCCACGTCCCTGTCGTTATCACACTCATCCGTCGAACAATCATCATTTGTCGAATCATTATTCAAACTAATCCTCGGCTTCAGTTGTTTGGGTGACAATACGAACTCATACAGCTTTTGTTTAATAGGATAACCTGGAATATCGCTTACAACATAGCGGTTTCGATCTAATTTCTTTTGATTAGATATGGCCCGATAAATCTTTTACTCAACTTAGCGCTACCCTCAACATCCAACACAGTCGGGTGAATCATAACATAATCTCCCGGTTTGTACTATGGATACGGCTTGTAAATTCCATCGCGCATGATTCACTATAAAATTGAAAACCTTTTGAACGAAAACGTTCTATATGCGAAGGCAACAGATCATTACGTCTGCAATTGATTAAAAACTTTATTCTAGCATTTGCTGTCACAAGGTCACATCTGTATTTTGTCCATTTTCTCAAAATATTCTCT